ATGAAGTACTAACAAAGATTCCACCAAAAAATCAGCAGCAAATTATTTATTTTGCCCCTCTGTTAGCCTTTTGTGGTCCTTGATGCCCAAGTATATAAAGGTGCCAACTGCCAAGAGCTTTGTTGGTTTGTCCGATTATCTGTCTCAAATCTCTATTTAACGCAATATAACAAATGATATTACCATTATTACGGTCCCCTGTCTTGGGATGACATTACCACACTGGAAACTACAAACTATTTCATTTATCTTAGACCATCAAAGATTTCAAAGAGATTACTTTATACCCTCTTTTTTTTTTTATTTGTTATGTTCCTTGGCTGCTTGTTGTCCGATTGTTAATTTCTCTCCATTTTTTTTTTCTTTTGCTGATCTCCACAGATGTCTCTGTCTATCTCTACTCATATGATATGAATGTTAATTCAGCCCTCTAACTTGTTACAACATAGACAATAGCCATTATAGCAATTTCTTTCTGAATTCAGGTTTGCACTTCGTTCAGAAAAGATTTAGTAGCACACTCTAGTTTCTCGCATATTGTTAAGGTAACTAATCATGCTAATTTTTCTCCAATTAAGATATAATGATGGCAAACAAAGAATGTTTGCATTAGTTCGTCGATTAACTGTACTGCTAGTTGTCTTTATCTGGGATTAAATAAAAATACAGAAAAAGGAAGAAGCATACTTTCTGCATCAGAATGATGCTCATTGTTTCCCACTAACGCTGAAATCATTGATACAAAGAACACTAATTCCCTCACCTCAAATAATTTACTTTTCCACTACCCTTACAGCTATCATGGGAAACACACTAAAGGTATTTTTTCTGTGGCTTAGATACCCAACGCATGCTCTTATTATAATTGGGGTCGACACTCGACATGCAGTTCCATTTTCTTTAAAAGTTGTTTAGAGTTTGATAGGAATTTCTCCTGCAACTGGACCAGTATTCAGCTACAAGCTTAGAAAAAGAAGAGTTTGTCTCCATAAGCTTTGAGGGTTCATCATACTCCACCAATTTCCCTGCAAATCAAATCATATTGTAATTGCATAACTGGCTTCTACCAAACGACCAAGTAACAACCAGAGTACATTTCCAAGAGGGGTTAATTAATCGTCTTTCTATGAACTACATCTTTTTGCATACTCCTTTTTCCAACAAAATTATCTTCTTAGGTTTTTTAAAACCGCATTCTACATATATTAACTTTATTTCAGATGGGTGTAACAGCCTGTTGGTTTATATGTTGCTAATCTTAAGATTAAGATACTTAAAAATGTTACTTAGAATGATCAAGTCAGAAATAAGAACTTACCATATGAGAGGACCATGACCCTGTCACTATCTATAACTGTAGGGACACGATGAGCAACAGTTATCACCGTGCATTTGGAGAATTCTTCTCTGAGAATTTT